GCACACGCTAGGCCCTAGTTCTTGCAATTTTGCACACGCTCGGCCCTTGTTATTGCAATTTTGCACACGCTAGACCCTTATTCTTGCACTTTTGCACACGCTATGCCCTTGTTCTTGCTATTTTGCACACGCTAGGCCCTTGTTCTTGCAATTTTGCACACGCTAGGCCCTTGTTCTTGCAATTTTGCACACGCTAGACCCTTGTTCTTGCAATTTTGCACACGCTATGCCCTTGTTCTTGCAATTTTGCACACGCTAGGCCCTTGTTCTTGCTATTTTGCACACGCTAGGCCCTTGTTCTTGCTATTTTGCACACGCTCGGCCCTTGTTCTTGCAATTTTGCACACGCTAGACCCTTGTTCTTGCACTTTTGCACACGCTAGGCCCTTGTTCTTGCAATTTTGCACCCGCTAGGCCCTTGTTCTTGCAATTTTGCACACGCTATGCCCTTGTTCTTGCTATTTTGCACACGCTAGACCCTTGTTCTTGCAATTTTGCACACGCTATGCCCTTGTTCTTGCTATTTTGCCCATAATAGGCCCTTGTTCTTGAAATTTTGCACACGCTAGGCCCTTGTTCTTGCAATTTTGCACACGCTAGGCCCTTGTTCTTGCAATTTTGCACACGCTAGGCCCTTGTTCTTGCTATTTTGCACACGCTAGCCCCTTTTTCTTGCTATTTTGCACATGCTAGGCCCTTGTTCTTGCTATTTTGCACATGCTAGGCCCTTGTTCTTGCAATTTTGCACACGCTAAGCCCTTGTTCTTGCAATTTTGCACGCGCTAGACCCTTGTTCTCGCTATTTTGCACACGCTAGGCCCTTGTTCTTGCTATTTTGCACACGCTAGGCCCTTGTTCTTGCAATTTTGCACACGCTAGGCCCTTGTTCTTGCAATTTTGCACACGCTAGACCCTTGTTCTTGCAATTTTGCACACACTATGCCCTTGTTCTTGCTATTTTGCACACGCTAGACCCATATTCTTGCAATTTTGCACACGCTAGGCCCTTGTTCTTGCAATTTTGCGCACGCTAGGCCCTTGTTCTTGCTATTTTGCACAAGCTAGGCCCTTGTTCTTCCAAATTTGCACACGCTAGGCCCTTGTTCTTGCTATTTTGCACATGCTAGGCCCTTGTTCTTGCAATTTTGCACACGCTCGGCCCTTGTTATTGCAATTTTGCACACGCTAGGCCCTTGTTCTTGCACTTTTGCACACGCTAGGCCCTTGTTCTTGCAATTTTGCACACGCTAGGCCCTTGTTCTTGCAATTTTGCACACGCTAGGCCCTTGTTCTTGCAATTTTGCACACGCTAGTCCCTTGTTCTTGCTATTTTGCACACGCTAGACCCTTGTTCTTGCTATTTTGCACACGATATGCCCTTGTTCTTGCTATTTTGCCGATAATAGGCCCTTGTTCTTGCAATTTTGCACACGCTAGGCCCTTGTTCTTGCAATTTTGCACACGCTAGGCCCTTGTTCTTGCAATTTTGCACACGCTAGGCTCTTGTTCTTGCTATTTTGCACACGCTAGGCCCTTGTTCTTGCTATTTTGCACACGCTAGCCCCTTTTTCTTGCTATTTTACACACGCTAGGCCCTTGTTCTTGCTATTTTGCACACGCTAGGCCCTTGTTCTTGCAATTTTGCACACGCTAAGCCCTTGTTCTTGCAATTTTGCACGCGCTAGACCCTTGTTCTTGCTATTTTGCACACGCTAGGCCCTTGTTCTTGCTATTTTGCACACGCTAGACCCTTGTTCTTGCAATTTTGCACACACTATGCCCTTGTTCTTGCTATTTTGCACACGCTAGACCCTTGTTCTTGCAATTTTGCACACGCTATGCTCTTGTTCTTGCTATTTTGCACACGCTAGACCCTTGTTCTTGCAATTTTGCACACGCTAGGCCCTTGTTCTTGCAATTTTGCACACGCTAGGCCCTTATTCTTGCTATTTTGCACAAGCTAGACCCTTGTTGTTGCAATTTTGCACACGCTATGCCCTTGTTCTTGCTATTTTGCACACGCTAGACCCTTGTTCTTGCAATTTTGCACACGCTAGGCCCTTGTTCTTGCAATTTTGCACACGCTATGCCCTAGTTCTTGCTATTCTCGACACGCTAGGCCCTTGTTCTTGCAATTTTGCACACGCTAGGCCCTTGTTCTTGCAATTGTGCACGCGCTAGGCCCTTGTTCTTGCAAATTTGCACACACTAGGCCCTTGTTCTTGCTATTTTGCACACGGTAGACCCTTGTTCTTGCAATTTTGCACACGCTAGGCCCTTGTTCTTGCTATTTTGCACACGCTAGGCCCTTGTTCTTGCAATTTTGCACACGCTAGTCCCTTGTTCTTGCTATTTTGCACACGCTAGACCCTTGTTCTTGCAATTTTGCACACGCTATGCCCTTGTTCTTGCTATTTTGCACACGCTAGTCCCTTGTTCTTGCAATTTTGCACACGCTAGGCCCTTGTTCTTGCTATTTTGCACAAGCTAGGCCCTTGTTCTTCCAATTTTGCACACGCTAGGCCCTTGTTCTTGCTATTTTGCACACGCTAGGCCCTTGTTCTTGCAAATTTGCACACACTAGGCCCTTGTTCTTGCTATTTTGCACACGGTAGACCCTTGTTCTTGCAATTTTGCACACGCTAGGCCCTTGTTCTTGCTATTTTGCACACGCTAGACCCTTGTTCTTGCAATTTTGCACACGCTAGACCCTTGTTCTTGCTATTTTGCACACGCTAGACCCTTGTTCTTGCAATTTTGCACACGCTATGCCCTTGTTCTTGCTATTGTGTACACGCTAGACCCTTGTTCTTGCAATTTTGCACACGCTAGACCCTTGTTCTTGCAATTTTGCACACGCTAGGCCCTTGTTCTTGCTATTTTGCACACGCTAGACCCTTGTTCTTGCAATTTTGCACACGCTAGACCCTTGTTCTTGCTATTTTGCACACGCTAGACCCTTACACTTGCAATTTTGCACACGCTAGACCCTTGTTCTTGCTATTTTGCACACGCTAGACCCCTTTTCTTGCATTTTTGTACACGCTAGGCCCTTGTTCTTGCAATTTTGCACACGCTAGGCCCTTGTTCTTGCTATTTTGCACACGCTAGACCCTTGTTCTTGCAATTTTGCACACGCTAGCCCCTTGTTCTTGCAATTTTGCACACGCTATGCCCTTGTTCTTGCTATTTTGCACACGCTATGCCCTTGTTCTTGCTATTTTGCACACGCTAGACCCTTGTTCTTGCAATTTTGCACACGCTAGGCCCTTGTTCTTGCAATTTTGCACACGCTAGGCCCTTGTTCTTGCAATTTTGCACACGCTAGGCCCTTGTTCTTGCAATTTTGCACACGCTAGGCCCTTGTTCTTGCTATTTTGCACACGCTAGGCCCTTGTTCTTGCTATTTTGCACACGCTAGCCCCTTTTTCTTGCTATTTTGCACACGCTAGGCCCTTGTTCTTGCTATTTTGCACACGCTAGGCCCTTGTTCTTGCAATTTTGCACACGCTAAGCCCTTGTTCTTGCAATTTTGCACGCGCTAGACCCTTGTTCTTGCTATTTTGCACGCTCTAGGCCCTTGTTCTTGCTATTTTGCACACGCTAGACCCTTGTTCTTGCAATTTTGCACACGCTATGCCCTTGTTCTTGCTATTTTGCACACGCTAGACCCTTGTTCTTGCAATTTTGCACACGCTATGCCCTTGTTCTTGCTATTTTGCACACGCTATGCCCTTGTTCTTGCTATTTTGCACACGCTAGACCCTTGTTCTTGCAATTTTGCACACGCTAGGCCCTTGTTCTTGCAATTTTGCACACGCTAGGCCCTTGTTCTTGCTATTTTGCACAAGCTAGACCCTTGTTCTTGCAATTTTGCACACGCTATGCCCTTGTTCTTGCTATTTTGCATACGCTAGACCCTTGTTCGTGCAATTTTGCACACGCTAGGCCCTTGTTCTTGCAATTTTGCACACGCTATGCCCTAGTTCTTGCTATTCTAGACACGCTAGGCCCTTGTTCTTGCAATTTTGCACACGCTAGGCCCTTGTTCTTGCAATTTTGCACGCGCTAGGCCCTTGTTCTTGCAAATTTGCACACACTAGGCCCTTGTTCTTGCTATTTTGCACACGGTAGACCCTTGTTCTTGCAATTTTGCACACGCTAGGCCCTTGTTCTTGCTATTTTGCACACGCTAGGCCCTTGTTCTTGCAATTTTGCACACGCTAGTCCCTTGTTCTTGCTATTTTGCACACGCTAGACCCTTGTTCTTGCAATTTTGCACACGCTATGCCCTTGTTCTTGCTATTTTGCACACGCTAGTCCCTTGTTCTTGCAATTTTGCACACTCTAGGCCCTTGTTCTTGCAATTTTGCACACGCTAGGCCCTTGTTCTTGCTATTTTGCACACGCTAGGCCCTTGTTCTTGCAATTTTGCACACGCTAGGCCCTTGTTCTTGCAATTTTGCACGCGCTAGGCCCTTGTTCTTGCTATTTTACACACACTAGACCCTTGTTCTTGCAATTTTGCACACGCTAGGCCCTTGTTCTTGCTATTTTGCACACGCTAGACCCTTGTTCTTGCAATTTTGCACACGCTAGGCCCTTGTTCTTGCTATTTTGCACACGCTAGGCCCTTGTTCTTGCTATTTTGGACACGCTAGACCCTTGTTCTTGCATTTTGGTATACGCTAGGCCCTTGTTATTGCTATTTTGCACACGCTAGACCCTTGTTCTTGCAATTTTGCACACGCTAGGCCCTTGTTCTTTCTATTTTGCACACGCTAGACCCTTGTTCTTGCAATTTTGCACACGCTATGCCCTTGTTCTTGCTATTTTGCACACGCTAGACCCTTGTTCTTGCTATTTTGCACACGCTAGACCCTTGTTCTTGCAATTTTGCACACGCTAGGCCCTTGTTCTTGCAATTTTGCACACGCTAGACCCTTGTTCTTGCTATTTTGCACACGCTAGACCCTTGTTCTTGCAATTTTGCACACGCTATGCCCTTGTTCTTGCTATTGTGTACACGCTAGACCCTTGTTCTTGCAATTTTGCACACGCTAGGCCCTTGTTCTTGCAATTTTGCACACGCTTGGCCCTTGTTCTTGCTATTTTGCACACGCTAGACCCTTGTTCTTGCAATTTTGCACACGCTAGACCCTTGTTCTTGCTATTTTGCACACGCTAGACCCTTACACTTGCAATTTTGCACACGCTAGACCCTTGTTCTTGCTATTTTGCACACGCTAGACCCTTTTTCTTGCATTTTTGTACACGCTAGGCCCTTGTTCTTGCAATTTTGCACAATTCCCAACCCCCAAAAGTCTGTACCCCATATTGAGTCAACCCCACAACTTCCCATAGTCGCCACAACCGAAGTACAGAAAGCATACGAACCCCAACGTTCGTAACTTTCTTGACATTGCTCCGATCGCGACGATTCTTGGCTCGTCGGAAAGATCTTGAGTAGAGCTGTCATTTCAGATATCTGCCCAAGCCAAACATCATCCACACACACTCGAAAAATCCAAACCGCGCAAAACACAAATTCTTGCACACGTTCACACCACGCTTGCAACACACGAACACTTGATGGAGGCAGACAGACGTGAATGCATATGTTTGCATCACAACAACCCCGCCCCATTCTTCCGCTTTTCATCACCCCGCCCCATTCTCCCGCTTTCCATCACCCCGCCCCATTCTCCCGCTTTCCATCACCCCGCCCCATTCTCCCGCTTTCCATCACCCCGCCCCATTCTCCCGCTTTCCATCACTCCGCCCCATTCTCCCGCTTTCCATCACCCCGCCCTATTCTCAAGCTTTCCATCACCCCGCCCCATTCTCCCGCTTTCCATCACCCCGCCCCATTCTCCCGCTTTCCATCACCTCGCCCCATTCTCCCGCTTTCCATCACCCCGCACCATTCTCCCGCTTTCCATCACCCCGCCCCATTCTCCCGCTTTCCATCACCCCGCCCCATTCTCCCGCTTTCCATCACCCCACCCCTTTCTCCCTCTTTCCATCAACCCGCCCCATTCTCCCGCTTTCCATCACCCCGCCCCATTCTCCCGCTTTCCATCACCCCACCCCATTCTCCCGTTTTCCATCACCCCGCCCCATTCTCCCGCTTTCCATCACCCCGCCCCATTCTCCCTCTTTTCATCACCCCGCCCCATTCTCCCTCTTTCCATCACCCCACCCCATCCTCCCCCTATCCATCGCCCCGCCCCATTCTTCCGCTTTTCATCACCACGTCCCATTCTCCCTCTTTCCATCACCCCGCCCCATTCCCCCTCTTTCCATCTGCCTGCCCCATTCTCCCGCTCTCCATCACCCCGCCCTATTCTCCCTATTTCTATCACCCCGCCCCATTCTCCCGCTTTCCATCACCCCGCTTTCCATCACCCCGCCCCATTCTCCCGCTTTCCATCACCCCGCCCCATTCTCCCTCGTTCCATCACCCCGCCCCATTCTCCCTCTTTCCATCACCTCGCCCTATTCTCCCTCTTCCCATCACCACGCCCCATTCTCCCGCTTTCCATTACCCCGCCCCATTCTCAAACTTTCCATCACCCCGCCCTATTCTCCCTCTTTCGATCACCCCTGCCCCATTCTCACGCTTTCCATCATCCCGCCCCATTCTCCCGCTTTCCATCACCCCGCCCCTTTCTTCCTCTTTCCATCACCCCGCCCCATTCTCCCGCTTTCCATCTGCCCAACCCATTCTCCCGCTTTCCATCACCCCGCCCCATTCTCCCGCTTTCCATCACCCCGCCCCATTCTCCCGCTTTCCATCACCCCGCCCCATTCTTCCGCTTTCCATCACCCCGCCCCATTCTCCCTCTTTCCATCTCCCCGCCCCATTATCCCTCTCTCCATCACCCCGCCCCATTCTCCCGCTTTCCATCACCCCCCCCTATTCTCCCTCTTTCCATCACCCTGCCCCATTCTCCCGCTTTCCATCACCCAGCCCCATTCTCCTTCTTTCCATCACCCCACCCGATTCTCCCGCTTTCCATCACCCCGCCCCATTCTCCCTCTTTCTATCACCCCGCCCCATTCTCCCGCTTTCCACCACCCTGCTCCATTCTCCCGCTTTCCATCACCCCGCTCAATTCTCCCTCTTTCCATCACCCCTCCCCATTCTCCCTCTTTCCATCACCCCGCCACATTCTCCCGCTTTCCATCAACCCGCCTCATTATCCCTCTTTCCATCACCCCGCCCCATTCTCCCGCTTTCCATCACACCGCCCCATTCTCCCTCTATCCACCACCCCGCCCTATTCTCCCTCTTTCCATCACCCCGCCCCATTCTCCCGCTTTCCATCACCCCGCCCCATTCTCCCGCTTTCCATCACCCCTCCCCATTCTCCCGCTTTCCATCACCTCGCCCCATTCTCCCGCTTTCCATCACCTCGCCCCATTCTCCCTCTTTCCATCACCCCGCCCTATTCTCCCTCTTTCCATCACCCCGCCCCATTCTCCCGCTTTCCATCACCACGCCCCATTCTCCCGCTTCCCATCACCCCACCCCATTCTCCCGCTTTCCATCACCCCGCTCCATTCTCCCGCTTTCCATCACCCCTCCCAATTCTCCCTCTTTCCATCACCCCTCCCCATTCTCTCTCTTTCCATCACCCCACCCCATTCTCCCGCTTTCCATCACCCCGCCCCATTCTCCCGCTTTCCATCACCCCGCCCCATTCTCCCGCTTTCCATCACCCCGCCCCATTCTCTCGCTTTCCATCACCCCGCCCCATTCTTCCGCTTTCTATCACCCCGCCCCATTCACCCCGCCCCATTCTCCCTCCTTCCATCAACCCGCCCCATTCTCCCGCTTTCCTTCACCCCGCCCCATTCTCCCTCCTTCCATCAACCCGCCCCATTCTCCCTCTTTCCATCACCCCGCCCCATTCTTCCGCTTTTCATCACCCTACCCCATTCTCCCTCTTTCCATCACCCCGCCCCATTCCCCCTCTTTCCATCAACCCGCCCCATTCTCCCGCTTTCCATCACCTCGGGGTAATGGAAAACGTGAGAACGGGGCGGGGTGATGGAAAGCGGGAGAATGGGGCGGGGTGATGGAAAGCAGGGGAATGGGGCGGGGTGATGGAAAGCGGGAGAATTGGGCGGGGTGATGGAAAGCGGGAGAATGGTGCGGGGTGATGGAAAGCGGGAGAATTGGGCGGGGTGATGGAAAGCGGGAGAACGGGGCGGGGTGATGGAAAGCGGGAGAATGGGGCGAGGTGATGGAAAGCGGGAGAATGGGGCGGGGTGATGGAAGGAGGGAGAATGGGGCGGGGTGATAGAAGGTGGGAGGATGGGGTGGGGTGATGGAAAGCGGGAGAATGGGGCGGGGTGATGGAAAGCGGGAGAATGGGGCGGGGTGGTGGAAAGCGGGAGAATGGGGTGGGGTTATGGGAAGCGGGAGAATGGGGCAGGGTGATGGAAGGAGAGAGAAGGGGGCGGAGTGATGGAAAGTGGGAGAATGTGGCGGGGTGATGGAAAGCGGGAGAATGGGGTGGGGTTATGGGAAGCGGGAGAATGGGGCAGGGTGATGGGAGGAGGGAGAACTGGGCGGGGTGATGGAAGGAGGGAGAATGGGGCGGATTGATGGAAAGCGGGAGAATGGGGCGGGGTGATGGAAGGAGGGAGAATGGGGCAGGGTGATGGAAAGCGGGAGAATGGGGCGGGGTGATGGAAAGCGGGAGAATGGGGCGTGGTGATGGAAAGCGGGAGAATCGGGCGGGGTGATGGAAAGCGGGAAAATGGGGCGGGGTGATGGAAAGCGGGAGAATGGGGCTGGGTGATGGAAAGCGGGAGAATGGGGCAGGGTGATGGAAAGCGGGAGAATGGGGCGGGGTGATGGAAGGAGGGAGAATGAGCCAGGGTGATGGAAGGAGGGAGAATGGGGCGGGGTGATGGAAAGCGGGAGAATGGGGCGGGGTGATGGAAAGCGGGAGAATGGGGCAGAGTGATGGAAAGCGGGACAATGGGGCGGGGTGATGGAAAGCGGGAGAATGGGGCGGGGTGATGGAAAGCGGGAGAATGGGGAGGGGTGTTGGAAAGCGGGAGAATGGGGCGGGGTGATGAAAAGCGGGAGAATGGGGCGGGGTGATGGAGAGCGGGAGAATGGGGCGGGGTGATGGAAAGCGGGAGATGGGGCGGGTGATGGAAAGCGGGTGAATGGTGCGGGGTGATGGAAAGCGGGAGAGTGGGGCGAGGTGATGGAAAGCAGGAGAATGGGGCGGGTGATGGAAAGCGGGAGAATGGGGCGGGGTGATGGAAGGAGGGAGAATGGGGAGGGGTGATGGAAAGCGGGGGAATGGGGCGGGATGATGGGAAGCGGAAGAATGGGGCGGGGTGATGGAAAGCGGGAGAATTGGGCAGGGTGATGGAAAGCGGGAGAATGGGGCGGGGAGATGGAAAGCGAAGAATGGGGCGGGGTGATGGAAGGAGGGAGAATGGGGCGGGGTGATGGAAGGAGGGAGAATGGGGCAGGGTGATGGAAAGTGGGAGAATGTGGCGGGGTGATGGAAAGCGGGAGATGGGGCTGGGGTTATGGGAAGCGGAGAATTGGGCGGGGTGATGGAAGGAGGGAGAATGGGGCGAGGTGATGGAAAGAGGGAGAATGGGGCAGGGTGATGGAAAGCAGGAGAATGGGGCGGGGTGATGGAAAGCGAGAGAACGGGGCGGGGTGATGGAAAGCGGGAGAATGGGGCGCGGTGATGGAAAGCAGGGGAATGGGGCGGGGTGATGGAAAGCGGGAGAATTGGGCGGGGTGATGGAAAGCGGGAGAATGGGGCGGGGTGATGGAAAGCGGGAGAACGGGGCGGGGTGATGGAAAGCGGGAGAACGGGGCGGGGTGATTGAAAGCGGGAGAATGGGGCGGGGTGATGGAAGGAGGGAGAATGGGGCGGGGTGATAGAAGGTGGGAGGATGGGGTGGGGTGATGGAAAGCGGGAGAATAGGGCGGGGTGATGGAAAGCGGGAGAATGGGGCGGGGTGGTGGAAGGAGGGAGAATGGGGAGGGGTGATGGAAAGCGGGGGAATGGGGCGGGATGATGGGAAGCGGAAGAATGGGGCGGGGAGATGGAAAGCGGGAGAATGGGACGGGGTGATGGAAGGAGGGAGATTGGGGCGTGGTGATGGAAGCAAGGAGAATGGGGCGAGCTGATGGAAAGCGGGAGAATGGGGCGGGGTGATGGAAAGCGGGAGAAGGGGGCAGGTTGATGGAAAGCGGGAGAATGGGGCGGGGTGATGGAAAGCGGGAGAATGGGGCGGGCTGATGGAAAGCAGGAGAATGGGGCGAGCTGATGGAAAGCGGGAGAATGGGGCGGGGTGATGGAAGGAGGGAGAATGGGGCGGGGTGATGGAAGGAGGGAGAATGGGGCGGGATGAAGTGGGAGAAAGTGGCGGGGTGATGGAAAGCGGGAGATGGGGCTGGGGTTATGGGAAGCGGAGAATGGGGCGGGGTGATGGAAGGAGGGAGAATGGGGCGGGGTGAGGGAAAGAGGGAGAATGGGGCGGGGTGATGGAAAGCGGGAGAATGGGGCGGGGTGATGGAAAGCGGGAGAACGGGGTGGGGTGATGGAAAGCGGGAGAATGGGGCGGGGTGATGGAAAGCGGGGGAATGGGGCAGGGTGATGGAAAGCGGGAGAATGGGGCGGGGTGATGGAAAGCAGGAGAATGGGGCGGAGTGATGGAAAGCGGGAGAATGGGGCTGGGTGATGGAAAGCGGGAGAATGAGGCGGGGTGATGGAAAGCGGGAGCATGGGGCGGGGTGATGGAAGGAGGGAGAATGAGGCAGGGTGATGGAAGGAGGGAGAATGGGCCGGGGTGATGGAAAGCGGGAGAATGGGGCGGGGTGATGGAAAGCGGGAGAATGGGGCGGAGTGATGGAAAGCGGGACAATGGGGCGGGGTGATGGAAAGCGGGAGAATGGGGCGGGGTGATCGAAAGCGGGAGAATGGGGAGGGGTGTTGGAAAGCGGGAGAATGGGGCGGGGTGATGAAAAGCGGGAGAATGGGGCGGGTTGATGGAGAGCGGGAGAATGGGGCGGGGTGATGGAAAGCGGGAGATGGGGCGGGTGATGGAAAGCGGGTGAATGGTGTGGGGTGATGGAAAGCGGGAGAATGGGGCGGGGTGATGGAAGGAGGGAGAATGGGGCGGGGTGATGGAAGGAGGGAGAATGGGGCGGGGTGATGGAAAGTGGGAGAATGTGGCGGGGTGATGGAAAGCGGGAGATGGGGCTGGGGTTATGGGAAGCGGAGAATTGGGCGGGGTGATGGAAGGAGGGAGAATGGGGCGGGGTGATGGAAAGAGGGAGAATGGGGCGGGGTGATGGAAAGCAGGAGAATGGGGCGGGCTGATGGAAAGCGGGAGAATTGGGCGGGGTGATGGAAAGCGTGAGAACAGGGCGGGTTGATGGAAAGCGGGAGAATGGGGCGGGGTGATGGAAAGCAGGGGAATGGGGCGGGGTGATGGAAAGCGGGAGAATTGGGTGGGGTGATGGAAAGCGGGAGAATGGGGCGGGGTGATGGAAAGCGGGAGAATTGGGCGGGGTGATGGAAAGCGGGAGAACGGGGCGGGGTGATGGAAAGCGGGAGAATGGGGCGAGGTGATGGAAAGCGGGAGAATGGGGCGGGGTGATGGAAGGAGGGAGAATGGGGCGGGGTGATGGAAAGCGGGAGAATAGGGCGGGGTGTTGGAAAGCGGGAGAATAGGGCGGGGTGATGAAAAGCGGGGAATGGAGCGGGGTGATGGAAAGAGGGAGAATGGGACGGGGTGATGGAAAGCGGGAGAATGGGGCGGGGTGATGAAAAGCGGGAGAATAGGGCGGGGAGATGGAAAGCAGGAGAATGGGGCGGGGTGATGGAAGGAGGAAGAATGGGGCGGGGTGATGGAAGGAGGGAGAATGGGGCGGGGTGATGGAAAGTGGGAGATTGTGGCGGGGTGATGGAAAGCGGGAGATGGGGCTGGGTTTATGGGAAGCGGAGAATTGGGCGGGGTGATGGAAGGAGGGAGAATGGGGCGGGGTGATGGAAAGAGGGAGAATGGGGCCGGGTGATGGAAAGCAGGAGAATGGGGCGGGGTGATGGAAAGCAGGAGAATTGGGCGGGGTAATGGAAAGCGTGAGAACGGGGCGGGGTGATGGAAAGCGGGAGAATGGGGCGGGGTGATGGAAAGCAGGGGAATGGGGCGGGGTGATGGAAAGCGGGAGAATTGGGCGGGGTGATGGAAAGCGGGAGAATGGTGCGGGGTGATGGAAAGCGGGAGAATTGGGCGGGGTGATGGAAAGCGGGAGAACGGGGCGGGGTGATGGAAAGCGGGAGAATGGGGCGAGGTGATGAAAAGCGGAAGAATGGGGCGGGGTGATGGAAGGAGGGAGAATGGGGCGGGGTGATAGAAGGTGGGAGGATGGGGTGGGGTGATGGAAAGCGGGAGAATGGGGCGGGGTGATGGAAAGCGGGAGAATGGGGCGGGGTGGTGGAAAGCGGGAGAATGGGGCAGGGTGATGGAAGGAGAGAGAAGGGGGCGGAGTGGTGGAAAGTGGGAGAATGTGGCGGGGTGATGGAAAGCGGGAGAATGGGGTGGGGTTATGGGAAGCGGGAGAATGGGGCAGGGTGATGGGAGGAGGGAGAACTGGGCGGGGTGATGGAAGGAGGGAGAATGGGGCGGGGTGATGGAAAGCGGGAGAATGGGGCGGGGTGATGGAAGGAGGGAGAATGGGGCGGGGTGATGGAAAGCGGGAGAATGGGGCGGGGTGATGGAAAGCGGGAGAATGGGGCGTGGTGATGGAAAGCGGGAGAATCGGGCGGGGTGATGGAAAGCGGGAAAATGGGGCGGGGTGATGGAAAGCGGGAGAATGGGGCTGGGTGATGGAAAGCGGGAGAATGGGGCGGGGTGATGGAAAGCGGGAGAATGGGGCGGGGTGATGGAAGGAGGGAGAATGAGCCAGGGTGATGGAAGGAGGGAGAATGGGGCGGGGTGATGGAAAGCGGGAGAATGGGGCGGGGTGATGGAAAGCGGGAGAATGGGGCAGAGTGATGGAAAGCGGGACAATGGGGCGGGGTGATGGAAAGCGGGAGAATGGGGCGGGGTGATGGAAAGCGGGAGAATGGGGAGGGGTGTTGGAAAGCGGGAGAATGGGGCGGGGTGATGAAAAGCGGGAGAATGGGGCCGGGTGATGGAGAGCGGGAGAATGGGGCGGGGTGATGGAAAGCGGGAGATGGGGCGGGTGATGGAAAGCGGGTGAATGGTGCGGGGTGATGGAAAGCGGGAGAATGGGGCGAGGTGATGGAAAGCAGAAGAATGGGGCGGGGTGATGGAAAGCGGGAGAATGGGGCGAGGTGATGGAAAGCAGGAGAATGGGGCGGGTGATGGAAAGCGGGAGAATGGGGCGGGGTGATGGAAGGAGGGAGAATGGGGAGGGGTGATGGAAAGCGGGGGAATGGGGCGGGATGATGGGAAGCGGAAGAATGGGGCGGGGTGATGGAAAGCGGGAGAATGGGGCTGGGTGATGGAAAGCGGGAGAATGGGGCGGGGTGATGGAAAGCGGGAGAATGGGGCGGGGTGATGGAAGGAGGGAGAATGAGCCAGGGTGATGGAAGGAGGGAGAATGGGGCAGGGTGATGGAAAGCGGGAGAATGGGGCGGGGAGATGGAAAGCGGGAGAATGGGGCGGGGTGATGGAAGGAGGGAGAATGGGGCGGGGTGATGGAAGGAGGGAGAATGGGGCGGGGTGATGGAAAGTGGGAGAATGTGGCGGGGTGATGGAAAGCGGGAGATGGGGCTGGGGTTATGGGAAGCGGAGAATTGGGCGGGGTGATGGAAGGAGGGAGAATGGGGCGGGGTGATGGAAAGAGGGAGAATGGGGCAGGGTGATGGAAAGCAGGAGAATGGGGCGGGGTGATGGAAAGCGTGAGAACGGGGCGGGGTGATGGAAAGCGGGAGAATGGGGCGGGGTGATGGAAAGCAGGGGAATGGGGCGGGGTGATGGAAAGCGGGAGAATTGGGCGGGGTGATCGAAAGCGGGAGAATGGGGCGGGGTGATGGAAAGCGGGAGAACGGGGCGGGGTGATGGAAAGCGGGAGAACGGGGCGGGGTGATTGAAAGCGGGAGAATGGGGCGGGGTGATGGAAGGAGGGAGAATGGGGCGGGGTGATAGAAGGTGGGAGGATGGGGTGGGGTGATGGAAAGCGGGAGAATGGGGCGGGGTGATGGAAAGCGGGAGAATGGGGCGGGGTGGTGGAAGGAGGGAGAATGGGGAGGGGTGATGGAAAGCGGGGGAATGGGGCGGGATGATGGGAAGCGGAAGAATGGGGCGGGGAGATGGAAAGCGGGAGAATGGGACGGGGTGATGGAAGGAGGGAGATTGGGGCGGGGTGATGGAAGCAAGGAGAATGGGGCGAGCTGATGGAAAGCGGAAGAATGGGGCGGGGTGATGGAAAGCGGGAGAAGGGGGCAGGTTGATGGAAAGCGGGAGAATGGGGCGGGGTGATGGAAAGCGGGAGAATGGGGCGGGCTGATGGAAAGCAGGAGAATGGGGCGAGCTGATGGAAAGCGGGAGAATGGGGCGGGGTGATGGAAGGAGGGAGAATGGGGCGGGGTGATGGAAGGAGGGAGAATGGGGCGGGATGAAGTGGGAGAAAGTGGCGGGGTGATGGAAAGCGGGAGATGGGGCTGGGGTTATGGGAAGCGGAGAATGGGGCGGGGTGATGGAAGGAGGGAGAATGGGGTGGGGTGATGGAAAGAGGGAGAATTGGGCGGGGTGATGGAAAGCGGGAGAATGGGGCGGGGTGATGGAAAGCGGGAGAACGGGGTGGGGTGATGGAAAGCGGGAGAATGGGGCGGGGTGATGGAAAGCGGGGGAATGGGGCGGGGTGATGGAAAGCGGGAGAATGGGGCGGGGTGATGGAAAGCAGGAGAATGGGGCGGAGTGATGGAAAGCGGGAGAATGGGGCGAGGTGATGGAAGGAGGGAGAATGGGGCGGGGTGATAGAAGGTGGGAGGATGGGGTGGGGTGATGGAAAGCGGGAGAATGGGGCGGGATGATGGAAAGCGGGAGAATGGGGCGGGGTGGTGGAAAGCAGGAGAATGGGGCGGGGTGAGGGAAAGCAGGAGAATGGGGCGGGGTGATGGAAAACGGGAAAATGGGGCGGGGTGATGGAAAGCGGGAGAATGGGGCAGGGTGATGGAAGGAAGGAGAATGGGGCGGGGTGATGGAAAGCGGGAGAATGGGGCGGGGTGATGGAAAGAGGGAGAATGGGGCGGGCTGATGGAAAGAGGGAGAATGGGGCGGGGTTATGGAAAGCGGAAGAATGGGGCGGGGTGATGGAAAGTGGGAGAATGAGGCGTGGTGATGGAAAGCAGGAGAATGGGGCGGGATGATGGAAGGAGGGAGAATGGGGTGGGGTGATGGAAGGAGGGAGAATGGGGCGGGTGATGGAAGGAGGGAGAATGGGGCGGGGTGATGGAAAGTGGGAGAATATGGCGGGGTGATGGAAAGCGGGAGAATGGGGCGGGGTGATGGAAAGCGGGAGAATGGGGCGGGATGATGGAAAGTGGGAGAATGGGGCGGGGTGATGGAGCGGGAGAATGGGGCGGGGTGTTGGAAAGCGGGAGAATGGGGCGGGTTGATGGAAAGAGGGAGAATAGGGCGGGGTGATGGAAAGAGGGAGAATGGGGCGGGGTGATGAAAAGAGGGAGAATGGGTCGGGGTGATGGAAAGCGGGAGAATGGGGCAGGGTGATGGAAAGCGGGAGAATGTGGTGGGCTGATGGAAAGCGGGAGAATGGGGTGGGGTGATGGAAAGCAGGAAAATGGGGCGGGGTGATGGAAAGCGGGAGAATGGGGCGGGGAGATGGAAAGCGGGAGAATGGGAAAGGGTGATGGAAAGCGGGAGAATGGGGCGGGGTGATGGAAAGCAGGAGGATGGGGCGGGGTGATGGAAGGAGGGAGAACGGGGCGGGGTGATGGAAAGAGGGAGAACAGGGCGGGGTGATGGATAGAGGGAGAATGGGGCGGTGTGATGGAAAGCGGGAGAATGGGGCGGGGTGATGGAAAGAGGGATAATGAGGCGCGGTGATGGAAAGCGGGAGAATGTGGCGGGGTGATGGAAAGAGGGAGAATGGGGAGGGGTGATGGAAAAAGGGAGAATTGGGCGGGGTGATGGAAAGAGGGAGAATGGGGCGGGGTGATGGAAAACGGGAGAATTGGGCGGGGTGATGGAAAGCAGAAGAATGGGGCTGGGTGATGGAAAGCGGGAGAATGGGGCAGGGTGATGGAAAGAGGGAGAATAGGGCGGGGTGATGGAAAGCGGGAGAATGGGGCGGGGTGAAGGAAAGCGGGAGAATGGGGCGGGGTCATGGAAAGCGGGAGAATGGGGCGGGGTGACGGAAAGCGGGAGAATGGGGCGGGGTGATGGAACGCGGGAGAAAGGGGTGGGGTGATGGAAAGCGGGAGAGTGGGGCGGGGTGATGGAAAGGGGGAGAATGGCGCGGGGTGATGGAAAGCGGGAGAATGGGGCGGGGTGATGGAAAGAGGGAGAATGGGGAGGGGTGATGGAAAGAGGGAGAATTGAGCGGGTTGATGGAAAGCGGGAGAATGGAGCGGGGTGATGGAAAGCGGGAGAATGGGGCGGGGTGATGGAAAGCGGGAGAATGGGGCGGGGTGATGAAAAGAGAGAAAATAGGGCGAGGTGATGGAAAGCGGGAGAATGGGGTGGTGTGATGGAAAGCGGGAGAATGGGGTGGGGTGATGGAAAGAGGGAGAATGGGGCGGGGTGATGGAAAGCGGGAGAATGGGGCGGGGTGATGGAAAGAGGGAGAATGGGGCGGGGTGATGGAAGGCGGGAGAATGGGGCGGGGTGATGCAAATCGGGAGAATGGGGTGGGGTGATGGAAAGCGGGAGAATGGGGCGGGGTGATGGAAAGAGGGAGAATGGGGCGGGGTGATGGAAAGCGGGAGAATGGGGCTGGTGATGGAAAGCGGGAGAATGGGGCGGGTTGATGGAAAGAGGGAGAATGGGGCGGGGTGATGGAAAGCGAGAGAATGGGGCGGGGTGATGGAAAGAGGGAGAATGGGCCGGGGTGATGGAAAGCGGGAGAATGGGGCGGTTTGATGGAAAGAGGGAGAATGGGGAGGGGTGATGGAAAGAGGGAGAATTGGGCGGGGTGATGGAAATCGGGAGAATGGAGCGGGGTGATGTAAAGCGGGCGGGGTGATGGAAAGCGGGAGAATGGGGCGGGGTGATAGAAAGAGGGAGAATGGGGCGGGGTGATGGACAGCGGGAGAATGGGGCGGGGTGATGGAAAGAGGGAGAATGGGGCGAGGTGATGGAAGGCGGGAGAATGGGGCGGGGTGATGCAAATCGATAGAATGGGATGGGGTGATGGAAAGCGGGAGAATGGGGCGGGGTGATGGAAAGCGGGAGAATGGGGCGGGGTGATGGAAGGCGGGAGAATGGGGCGGGGTGATGGATAGAGGGAGAATGGGGCGGGATGATGGAAAGCGGGAGAATGGGGCGGGTGATGGAAAGCGGGAGAATGGGGCGGGGTGATGGAAAGAGGGAGAATGGGGAGGGGTGATGGAAAGAGGGAGAATGGTGCGGGGTGATGGAAAGCGGGAGAATGGGGCGGGTTGATGGAAAGAGGGAGAATGGGGAGGGGTGATGGAAAGAGGGAGAATTGGGCGGGGTGATGGAAAGCGGGAGAATGGAGCGGGGTGATGGAAAGCGGGAGAATGGGGCGGGGTGATGGAAAGCGGGAGAATGGGGCGGGGTGATAGAAAGAGGGAGAATGGGGCGGGGTGATGGAAAGCGGGAAAATGGGGCGGGGTGATGGAAAGAGGGAGAATGGGGCGGGGTGATGGAAAGAGGGAGAATGGGGCGGGGTGATGGAAAGCGGGAGAATGGGGCGGGGTGATGGAAAGAGGGAGAATGGAGAGGGGTGATAGAAAGAGGGAGAATTGGGCGGGGTGATGGAAAGCGGGAGAATGGAGCGGGGTGATGGAAAGCGGGAGAATGGGGCGGGGTGATGGAAAGCGGGAGAATGGGGCGGGGTGATGGAAAGAGGGAAAATGGTGCGTGGTGATGGAAAGCAGGAGAATCGGGCGGGGTGATGGAAAGCGGGAGAATGGAGCGGGGTGGTGGAAAGCGGGAGAATGGGGCGGGGTGATGGAAAGAAGGAGAATGAGGAGGGGTGATGGAAAGAGGGAGAATTGGGCGGGGTGATGGAAAGCAGGGGAATGGAGCGGGGTGATGGAAAGAGGGGGAATGGGGCGGGGTGATGGAAAGCGGGAGAATGGGGCAGGGTGATGGAAAGAGGGAGAATGGGGCGGGGTGATGGAAAGCGAAAGAATGGGGCGGGGTGATGGAAAGAGGGAGAATGGGGCGGGGTGGTGGAAAGAGGGAGAATGGGGCGTGGTGATGGAAAGCGGGAGAATGGGGCGGGGTGATGGAAAGAGGGAGAATGGGGAGGGGTGATGGAAAGAGGGAGAATTGGGCGGGGTGATGGAAAGCGGGAGAATGGAGCGGGGTGATGGAATGAGGGAAAATGGGGCGGGGTGAAGGAAGGCGGGAGAATGGGGCGGGGTGATGGAAAGGGGGAGAATTGGGCAGGGTGATGGAAAGGTGGAGAATGGGGCGGGGTGATGGAAGGCGGGAGAATGGGGCGGGGTGATGGAAAGAGGGAGAATGGGGCGGGGTGATAGAAAGCAGGAGAATGGGGCGGGGTGATGGAAAGAGGGAGCATGGGAAGGGGTGATGGAAAGAGTGAGAATGGGGTGGGGTGATGGAAAGCGGGAGAATGGGGCTGGGTGTTGGAAAGCGGGAGAATGGGGCGGGGTGATGGAAATCGGGAGAATGGGGCGGGGTGATGGAAAGCGGAGAATGGGGCGGGGTGATGGAAAGCGGGAGAATAAGGCTGGGTGATGGAAAGCGAGAGAATGGGGCGGGGTGATGGAAAACGGGAGAATGGGATGGGGTGATGGAAAGTGGGAGAATTGGGCGGGGTGATGGATAGAGGGAGAATGGGGCGGGGTGATGGAAAGCGGGAGAATGGGGCAGGGTGATGGAAAGAGGAAGAATGGGGTGGGGTGATGGAAAGCGTGAGAATGGGGCGGGGTGATGGAAAGATTGAGAATGGGGCGGGTTGATGGAAGGCGGGAGAATGGGGCGGGGTGATGGAAAGCGGGAGAATTGGGCGGGGTTATGGAAAGCGGGAGAATGGGGCGGGGTGATGAAAGGCGGGAGAATGGGGCGGGATGATGGAAAGAGGGAGAATGGAGAGGGGTGATAGAAAGAGGGAGAATTGGGCGGGGCGATGTCAAGCGGGAGAATGGAGCGGGGTGATCGAAAGCGAGAGAATGGGGCGGGGTGATGGAAAGTGGGAGAATGGGGCGGGGTGACGGAAAGAGGGAAAATGGGGCGTGGTGATGGAAAGCGGGAGAATTGGGCAGGGTGATGGAAAGCGGGAGAATGGGGCGGGGTGGTGGAAAGCGGGAGAATGGGGCGGGGTGATGGAAAGAGGAAGAATGAGGAGGGGTGATGGAAAGAGGGAGAATTGGGCGGGATGATTGAAAGTGGGAGAATGGAGCGGGGTGATGGAAAGAGGGAGAATGGGGCGGGGTGATGGAAAGCGGGAGAATGGGGCGGGGTGATGGAAAGAGGGCGAATGGGGCGGGGTGATGGAAAGCAGGAGAATGGGGCGGGGTGATGGAAAAAGGGAGAATGGGGCGGGGTGATTAAAAGAGGGAGAATGGGGCGGGGTGATGGAAAGCGGGAGAATGGGGCGGGGTGTTGGAAAGAGGGAGAATGGGGAGGGGAGATGGAAAGAGGGAGAATTGGGCGGGGTGATGGAAAGCCGGAGAATGGAGCGGGGTGATGGAACGAGGGAAAACGGGGCGGGGTGATGAAATGCGGGAGAATGGGGCGGGGTGATGGAAAGAGGGAGGATGGGGCTGGGTGATGGAAAGCGGGAGAATGGGGCGGGGTGATGGAAAGCGGGAGAATGGGGCGGGGTGATGGAAATCGGGAAAATGGGGCGGGGTGATGGAAAGCGGGAGAATGGGGCGGGGTGATGGAAAGAGGGAGAATGGGGCGGGGTGATGGAAGGCGGGAGAATGGGGCGGGGTGATGGAAAGGGGGAGAATTGGGCAGGGTGATGGAAAGATGGAGAATGGGGCGGGGTGATGGAAGGCGGGAGAATGGGGCGGGGTGATGGAAAGAGGGAGAATGGGGCGGGGTGATAGAAAGCGGGAGAATGGGGCAGGGTGATGGAAAGAGGGAGAATGGGGCGGGGTGATGGAAAGAGGGAGAATGGGGCGGGGTGATGGAAATCGGGAGAATGGGGCATGGTGATGGAAAGAGGGAGAATGGGGAGGGGTGATGGAAAGAGGGAGAATTGGGCGGGGTGATGGAAAGCGGGAGAATGGGGCGGGGTGATGGAAAGCGGGAGAATGGGGCGGGGTGATGGAAAGCGGGAGAATGGGGCGGGGTGATGGAAAGCGGGAGAACGGGGCGGGGTGATGGAAAGAGGGAGAATGGGGCGGGGTGATGGAAAGCGGGAGAATGGGGCGGGGTGATGGAAAGTGGGAGAATGGGGCGGGGTGATGGAAAGCGGGAGAATGGGGCGGGGTGATGGAAAGCGGGAGAACGGGGCGGGGTGATGGAAAGAGGGAGAAAGGGGGGGGGTGATGGAAAGCGGGAGAATGGGGCGGGGTGATGGAAAGAGGGAGAATGGGGCGGGGTGATGGAAAGCGGGAGAATGGGTCGGGGTGATGGAAAGAGGGAGAATGGGGCGGGGTGATGGAAAGAGGGAGAATGGGGCAAGATGACGGAAATCGGGAGAATGGGGCGGGGTGATGGAAAGAGGGAGAATGGGGCGAGGTGACGGAAATCGGGAGAATGGGGCGGGGTGATGGAAAGAGGGAGAATGGGGCGGGGTGATGGAAAGAGGGAGAATGGGGGGGGGTGATGGAAAGAGGGAGAATGGGGCGGGGAGATGGACAGAGGAAGAATGGGGCGGGGTGATGGAAAGAGGGAGAATGGGGCGGGGTGACGGAAATCGGGAGAATGGGGCGGGGTGATGGAAAGCGGGAGAATTGGGCGGGGTAATGGAAAGCGAGAGGAATGGGGCGGGGTGATGAAAGGCGGGAGAATGGGGCGGGGTGATGGAAAGAGGGAGAATGGGGCGGGGTGATGGAAAGAGGGAGAATGGGGCAGGGTGACGGAAATCGGGAGAATGGGGCGGGGTGATTGAAAGAGGGAGAATGGGGCGGGGTGATGGAAAGCGGGAGAATGGGGCGGAGTGATGGAAAGCGGGAGAATGGGGCGGGGTGATGGAAAGAGGGAGAATGGGGCGGGGTGATGGAAAGCGGGAGAATGGGGCGGGGTGATGGAAAGCGGGAGAATGGGGCGGGGTGATGGAAAGCGGGAGAATGGGGCGGGGTGATGGAAAGAGGGAGAATGGGGCGGGGCGATGGAAAGCGGGAGAATGGGTCGGGATGATGGAAAGAGGGAGAATGAGGCGGGGTGATGGAAAGAGGGAGAATGGGGCAGGATGACGGAAATCGGGAGAATGGGGCGGGGTGATGGAAAGAGGGAGAATGGGGCGGGGTGAAGGACATCGGGAGAATGGGGCGGGGTGATGGAAAGAGGGAGAATGGGGCGGGGAGATGGAAAGAGGAAGAATGGGGCGGGGTGATGGAAAGCGGGCGAATGGGGCGGGGTGATGGAAAGAGGGAGAATGGGACGGGGTGATGGAAAGCGGGAGAATGGGGCGGGGTGATGGAAAGCGGGAGAATGGGGCGGGGTGATGGAAAGAGGGAGAATGGGGCCGGGTGATGGAAAGAGGGAGAATGGGGCGGGGTGATGGAAAGCGGGAGAATGGGGCGGGGTGATGGAAAGAGGGAGAATGGGGCGGGGTGATGGAAAGCGGGAGAATGGGTCGGGGTGATGGAAAGAGGGAGAATGGGGCGGGGTGATGGAAAGAGGGAGAATGGGGCAGGATGACAGAAATCGTGAGAATGGGGCGGGGTGATCGAAAGAGGGAGTATGGGGCGAGGTGACGGAAATCGGGAGAATGGGGCGGGGTGATGGAAAGAGGGAGAATGGGGCGGGGTGATGGAAAGATGGAGAATGGGGCGGGGTGATGGAAAGAGGGAGAATGGGGCGGGGTGATGGAAAAAGGAAGAATGGGGCGGGGTGATGGAAAGAGGGAGAATGGGGCGGGGTGACGGAAATCGGGAGAATGGGGCGGGGTGATGGAAAGAGGGAGAATGGGGCGGGGTGACGGAAATCGGGAGAATGGGGCGGGGTGATGGAAAGAGGAAGAATGGGGCGGGGAGATGGAAAGAGGAAGAATGGGGCGGGGTGATGGAAAGCGGGCGAACGGGGCGGGGTGATGGAAAGAGGGAGAATGGGACGGGATGATGGAAAGTGAGAGAATGGGGTGGGGTGATGGAAAGCGGGAGAATGGGGCGGGGTGATGGAAAGAGGGAGAATGGGGCCGGGTGATGGAAAGAGGGAGAATGGGGCGGGGTGATGGAAAGCGGGAGAATGGGGCGGGGTGATGGAAAGCGGGAGAATGGGGCGGGGTGATGGAAAGCGAGAGAATGGGGCCGGGTGATGGAAAGAGGGAGAATGGGGATGGGTGATGGAAAGAGGGAGAATTGGGCGGGGTGATGGAAAGCGGGAGAATGGAGCGGGGTGATGGAAAGAGTGAAAATGGGGCAGGGTGACGGAAAGGGGGAGAATGGGGCGGGGTGATGGAAAAAGGGAGAATGAGGCGGGGTGATGGAAAGCGGGAGAATGGGGCGGGGTGATGGAAAGCGGGAGAATGGGGCGGGGTGATGGAAAGCGGGAGAATGGAGCGGGGTGATGGAAAGCGGGAGAATGGGGCGGGGTGATGGAAAGCGGGAGAATGGGGCGGGGTGATGGAAAGCGGGAGAATGGGGCGGGGTTATGGAAATCGGGAAAAAGGGGCGGGGTGATGGAAAGCGAGAGAATGGGGCGGGGTGATGGAAAGAGGGAGAATGGGGCGGGGTGATGGATGGCGGGAGAATGGGGCGGGGTGATGGAAAGTGGGAGAATGTGGCGGGATGATGGAAAGCGGGAGATGGGGCTGGGGTTATGGGAAGCGGAGAATTGGGCGGGGTGATGGAAGGAGGGAGAATGGGGCGGGGTGATGGAAAGAGGGAGAATGGGGCGGGGTGATGGAAAGCAGGAGAATGGGGCGGGCTGATGGAAAGCGGGAGAATTGGGCGGGGTGATGGAAAGCGTGAGAACGGGGCGGGGTGATGGAAAGCGGGAGAATGGGGCGGGGTGATGGAAAGCAGGGGAATGGGGCGGGGTGATGGAAAGCGGGAGAATTGGGCGGGGTGATGGAAAGCGGGAGAATGGGGCGGGGTGATGGAAAGCGGGAGAATCGGGCGGGGTGATGGAAAGCGGGAGAACGGGGCGGGGTGATGGAAAGCGGGAGAATGGGGCGAGGTGATGGAAAGCGGGAGAATGGGGCGGGGTGATGGAAGGAGGGATAATGGGGCGGGGTGATGGAAAGCGGGAGAATAGGGCGGGGTGATGGAAAGTGGGAGAATAGGGCGGGGTGATGGAAAGCGGGAGAATGGAGCGGGGTGATGGAAAGAGGGAGAATGGGACGGGGTGATGGAAAGCGGGAGAATGGGGCGGGGTGATGAAAAGCAGGAGAATGGGGCGGGGAGATAGAAAGCGGGAGAATGGGGCGGGGTGATGGAAGGAGGGAGAATGGGGCGGGGTGATGGAAGGAGGGAGAATGGGGCAGGGTGATGGAAAGTGGGAGAATGTGGCGGGGTGATGGAAAGCGGGAGATGGGGCTGGGGTTATGGGAAGCGGAGAATTGGGCGTGGTGATGGAAGGAGGGAGAATGGGGCGGGGTGATGGAAAGAGGGAGAATGGGGCGGGGTGATGGAAAGCAGGAGAATGGGGCGGGGTGATGGAAAGCGGGAGAATTGGGCGGGGTGATGGAAAGCGTGAGAACGGGGCGGGGTGATGGAAAGCGGGAGAATGGGGCGGGGTTATGGAAAGCAGGGGAATGGGGCGGGGTGATGGAAAGCGGGAGAATTGGGCGGGGTGATGGAAAGAGGGAGAATGGGGCGGGTGATGGAAAGCGGGAGGATGGGGCAGGGTGATGGGAGGAGGGAGAATTGGGCGGGGTGATGGAAGGAGGGAGAATGGGGCGGGGTGATGGAAAGCGGGAGAATGGGGCGGGGTGATGGAAGGTGGGAGAATGGGGCGGGGTGATGGAAAGCGGGAGAATGGGGCGAGGTGATGGAAAGCGGGAGAATGGGGCGGGGTGATGGAAAGCGGGAGAATCGGGCGGGGTGATGGAAAGCGGGAAAATGGGGCGGGGTGATGGAAAGCGGGAGAATGGGGCTGGGTGATGGAAAGCGGGAGAATGGGGCGGGGTGATGGAAAGCGGGAGAATGGGGCGGGGTGATGGAAGGAGGGAGAATGGGGCGGGGTGTTGGAAAGCGGGAGAATGGGGCGGGGTGATGGAAAGCGGGAGAATGGGGCAGAGTGATGGAAAGCGGGACAATGGGGCGTGGTGATGGAAAGCGGGAGAATGGGGCGGGGTGATGGAAAGCGGGAGAATGGGGAGGGGTGTTGCAAAGCGGGAGAATAGGGCAGGGTGATGGAAAGCGGGAGAATGGGGCGGGGAGATGGAAAGCGGGAGAATGGGGCGGGGTGATGGAAGGAGGGAGAATGGGGCGGGGTGATGGAAGGAGGGAGAATGGGGCGGGGTGATGGAAAGTGGGAGAATGTGGCGGGGTGATGGAAAGCGGGAGATGGGGCTGGGGTTATGGGAAGCGGAGAATTGGGCGGGGTGATGGAAGGAGGGAGAATGGGGCAGGGTGATGGAAAGAGGGAGAATGGGGCAGGGTGATGGAAAGCAGGAGAATGGGGCGGGGTGATGGAAAGCGGGAGAACTGGGCGGGGTGATGGTAAGCGTGAGAATGGGGCGGGGTGATGGAAAGCGGGAGAATGGGGCGGGGTGATGGAAAGGCGGAAAATGGCGCGGGGTGATGGAAAGCGGGAGAATGGGGCGGGTTGATGGAAAGAGGGAGAATGGGGTGGGGTGATGGAAAGAGGGAGAATGGGGCGGGGTGATGGAAAGAAGGAGAATGGGGTGGGGTGATGGAAAGAGGGAGAATGGGGCGGGGTGATGGAAAGAGGGAGAATTGGGCGGGTTGATGGAAGGCAGGAGAGTTGGGCGGGGTGATGGAAAGAGGGAGAATGGGGCGGGGTGATGGAAAGCGGGAGAATGGGGCGGGGTGATGGAAAAAGGGAGGATGGGATGGGGTGATGGAAAGAGGGAGAATTGGGCGGGGTGATGGAAAGCGGGACAATGGAGCGGGATGATGGAAAGCGAGAGAATGGGGCGGGGTGATGGAAAGCGGGAGAATTGGGCGGGGTGATGGAAAGAGGGAAAATGGCGCGGGGTGATGGAAAGCGGGAGAATGGGGCGGGGTGATGGAAAAAGGGAGAATGGGGAGGGGTGATGGAAAGAGGGAGAATTGGGCGGGGTGATGGAAAGCGGGACAATGGAGCGGGATGATGGAAAGCGAGAGAATGGGGCGGGGTGATGGAAAGCGGGAGAATGGGGCGGGGTGATGGAAAGAGGGAAAATGGCGCGGGGTGATGGAAAGCGGGAGAATGGGGCGGGGTGATGGAAAGAGGGAGAATGGGGCGGGATGATGGAAAGAGGGAGAATGGGGCGGGGTGATGGAAAGCGGGAGAATGGGGCGGGGTGATGGAAAGAGGGAGAATGGGGCGGGGTGATGGAAAGAGGGAGAATTGGGCGGGGTGATGGAAGGCGGGAGAGTGGGGCGGGGTGATGGAAAGAGGGAGAATGGGGCGGAGTGATGGAAAGCGGGAGAATGGGGCGGGGTGATGGAAGGAGGGAGAATGGGGCGGGATGATGGAAAGCGGGAGAATGGGGCGGGGTGATGGAAAGCGGGAGAATGGGGCGGGGTGATGGAAAGAGGGAAAATGGCGCGGGGTGATGGAAAGCGGGAGAATGGGGCGGGGTGATGGAAAGAGGGAGAATGGGGCGGGATGATGGAAAGAGGGAGAATGGGGCGGGGTGATGGAAAGCGGGAGAATGGGGCGGGGTGATGGAAAGAGGGAGAATGGGGCGGGGTGATGGAAAGAGGGAGAATTGGGCGGGGTGATGGAAGGCGGGAGAGTGGGGCGGGGTGATGGAAAGAGGGAGAATGGGGCGGAGTGATGGAAAGCGGGAGAATGGGGCGGGGTGATGGAAGGAGGGAGAATGGGGCGGGATGATGGAAAGCGGGAGAATGGGGCGGGGTGATGGAAAGCGGGAGAATGGGGCGGGGTGATGGAAATCGGGAGAATGGGGCGGGGTGATGGAAAGCGGGAGAATGGGGCGGGGTGATGGAAAGCGGGAGAATGGGGCGGGGTGATGGAAGGACGGAGAATGGGGCGGGGTGATAGAAAGCGGGAGAATGTGGCGGGGTGATGGAAAGCGGGAGAAGGGGGTGGGGTTATGGAAGGGTCCCGCCACATTCTCCCGCTTTCTATCACCCCGCCCCATTCTCCCTCCTTCCATCACCCCGCCCCATTCTCCCGCTTTCCATCACCCCGCCCCATTCTCCCGATTTCCATCACCCCGCCCCATTCTCCCGCTTTCCATCACCCCGCCCCATTCTCCCGCTTTCCATCACCCCGCCCCATTCTCCCGCTTTCCATCATCCCGCCCCATTCTCCCTCCTTCCATCACCCCGCCCCATTCTTCCGCTTCCCATCATCCCGCCCCATTACCCCGCTTCCCATCACCCCTCCCCATTCTCCCTCCTTCCATCACCCCGCCCCATTCTCTCGCTTTCAATCACCCCGCCCCATTCTCCCGCTTTCCATCACCCCGCCCCATTTTCCCGCTTTCCATCACGCCGCCCCATTATCCCTCCTTCTATCACCCCGCCCCATTCTCCCTCCTTCCATCACCCCGCCTCATTCTCCTGCTTTCCATCACCCCGCCTCATTCTCCCGCTTCCCATAACCCCACCCCATTTTCCCGCTTTCCATCACCCCGCCACATTCTCCCACTTTCCATCACCCCGCCCCCTTCTCTCTCCTTCCATCACCCCGCCCCATTCTCCCTCCTTCCATCATCCCGCCCCATTCTCCCGCTTTCCATCAGCCCGCCCCATTCTCCCGCTTTCCATCACCCCTCCCCTTTCTCCCGCTTTCCATCTCCCCGCCCCATTCTCCCGCTTTCCATCACCCCGCCCCATTCTCCCGCTTTCCATCACCCAGCCCCATTCTTCCGCTTCCATCACCCCGCCCCATTCTCCCGCTTTGCATCACCCCGCCCCATTCTCCCGCTTTCCATCACCCAGCCTCATTCTCCCGCTTTCCATCACCCCGCCCCATTCTCCCGCTTTCCATCACCCCGCCCCATTCTCCCGCTTTCCATCACCCCGCCCCATTCTCCCTCCTTCCATCACCACGCCCCATTCTCCCGCTTTCCATCACCCCGTCCCATTCTCCCTCCTTCCATCACCCCGCCCCATTCTCCCTCCTTCCATCACCCCGCCCCATTCTCCCGCTTTCCATCAGCCCGCCCCATTCTCCCGCTTCCCATAACCCCACCCCCGTCTCCCGCTTTCCATCTCCCTGCCACATTCTCTTGCTTTCTATCACCTCGCCCCATTCTCCCTCCTTCCATCACCCTGCCCCATTCCCCGCTTTCCATCACCCCGCCCCATTCTCCCGCTTTCCATCATCCCGCCCCATTCTCCCTCCTTCCATCACCCCGCCCCATTCTCCCGCTTTCCATCACTTCGCCCCATTCTCCCTCCTTCCATCACCCCGCCCCATTCTCCCTCCTTCCATCACCCCGCCCCATTCTCCCGCTTTCCATCACCCCGCCCCATTCCCCCGCTTTCCATCACCCCGCCCCATTCTCCCGCTTTCCATCACCCAGCCCCATTCTCCCACTTTCCATCACCCCGCCCCATTCTCCCGCTTTCCATCACCCCGCCACATTCTCCCGCTTTCCATCACCCCGCCCCATTCTCCCTCCTTCCATCACCCCGCCCCATTCTCCCGCTTTCCATCACCCCGCCCCACTCTCCCGCTTCCCATAACCCCACCCCATTCTCCCGCTTTTCATCACCCCGCCCCATTCTCTCGCTTTCTATCACCCCGCCCCATTCTCCCTCCTTCCATCACCCCGCCCCATTCTCCCGCTTTCCATCACCCCGCCCCATTCTCCCGATTTCCGTCACCCCGCCCCATTCTCCCGCTTTCCATCACCCCGCCCCATTCTCCCGCTTTCTATCACCCCGCCCCATTCTCCCGCATTCCATCATCCCGCCCCATTCTCCCTCCTTCCATCACCCCGCCCCATTCTCCCGCTTTCCATCACTCCGCCCCATTCTCCCTCCTTCCATCACCCCGCCCCATTCTCCCTCCTTCCATCACCCCGCCCCATTCTCCCTCTTTCCATCACCCCGCCCCATTCTCCCTCCTTCCATCACCCCGCCACATTCTCCCACTTTCCATCACCCCGCCCCCTTCTCTCTCCTTCCATCACCCCGCCCCATTCTCCCTCCTTCCATCACCCCGCCCCATTCTCCCGCTTTTTATCAGCCCGCCCCATTCTCCCGCTCTCCATCACCCCTCCCCTTTCTCCCGCTTTCCATCTCCCCGCCCCATTCTCTCGCTTTCCATCACCCCGCCCCATTCTCCCTCCTTCCATAACCCCGCCCCATTCTCCCGCTTTCCATCACCCCGCCCCATTCTCCCTCTTTCCATCACCCCGCCCCATTCTCCCGCTTTCCATCACCCCGCCCCATTCTCCCGCTTTCCATCACCCCGCTCCATTCTCCCGCTTTCCATCGACCCGCCCAATTCTCCCTCTTTCCATCACCTCTCCCCATTCTCCCTCTTTCCATCACTCCCGCTTTCCATCACCCCGCCCCATTCTCCCGCTTTCCATCACCCCGCCCCATTCTCCCGCTTTCCATCACCCCGCCCCATTCTCCCTCTTTCCATCACCCCGTCCCATTCTCCCGCTTTCCATCACCCCGCCCCATTCTCCCGCTTTCCATCACCCCGCCCCATTCTCCTTCTTTCCATCACCCCGCCCCATTCTCCCTCTTTCCATCACCCCGCCCCATTCTCCCGCTTTCCATCACCCCGCGCCATTTTCCCTCTTTCCATCACCCCGCCCCATTCTCCCACTTTCCATCACCCCGCCCCATTCTCTCGCTTTCCATCATCCCGCTCCATTGTCCCGCTTTCCATCACCCCGCCCCATTCTCTCGCTTTCCATCACCCCGCTCCATTCTCCCGCTTTCCATCACCCCGCCCAATTCTCCCTCTTTCCATCAACCCTCCCTATTCTCCCACTTTCCATCACCCCGCCCCATTCTCTCCCTTTCCATCACCCCGCCCCATTCTCCCGCTTTCCATCGCCCCGCCCCATTCTCCCACTTTCCATCACCCCGCCCCATTCTCCCGCTTTCCATCACTCCGCCCCATTCTCCTTCTTTCCATCACCCCGCCCCATTCTCCCACTTTCCATCACCCCGCCCCATTCTCCCGCTTTCCATCACCCCGCGCCATTTTCCCTCTTTCCATCACCCCGCCCCATTCTCCCGCTTTCCATCACCCCGCCCCATTCTCCTGCTTTCCATCATCCCGCTCCATTGTCCCGCTTTCCATCACCCCGCCCAATTCTCACTCTTTCCATCACCCCTCCCCATTCTCCCTTTTTCCATCACCCCGCCCCATTCTCCCGATTTCCATCACCCCGCCCCATTCTCCCGCTTTCCATCATCCCGCCCCATTCTCCCGCTTTCCATCACCCCGCCCCATTCTCCCTCCTTCCATCACCCCGCCCCATTCTTCCTCTTTCCATCACCCCGCCCCATTCTCCCGATTTCCATCACCCCGCCCCATTCTCCCAATTTCCATCACCCCGCCCCATTCTCCCTCTTTCCATCACCCCGCCCCATTCTCCCTCTTTCCATCACCCCGCCCCACTCTCCCGCCTTCCATCACCCCGCCCAATTCTCCCTCTTTCCATCACCCCGCCCCATTCTCCCTCTTTCCATCACCCCGCCCCATTCTCCCGCTTTCCATCACCTCGCCCCATTCTCCCTCTTTCCATCACCCCGCCCCATTCTCCCTCTTTCCATCACCCCGCCCCATTCTCCCGCTTTCCATCACCCCGCGCCATTTTCCCTCTTTCCATCACCCCGCCCCATTCTCCCGCTTTCCATCACCCCGCCCCATTCTCTCGCTTTCCATCATCCCGCTCCATTGTCCCGCATTCCATCACCCCGCCCAATTCTCCCTCTTTCCATCACCCCTCCCCATCCTCCTTTTTTCCATCACCCCGCCCCATTCTCCCGCTTTCCATCACCCCGCCCCATTCTCCCTCTTTCCATCACCCCGCCCCACTCTCCCGCCTTCCATCAACCCGGCCAATTCTCCCTCTTTCCATCACCCCGCCCCATTCTCCCTCTTTCCATCACCCCGCCCCATTCTCCCGCTCTCCATCACCCCGCCCCATTCTCCTTCTTTCCATCACCCCGCCCCATTCTCCCTCTTTCCATCAACCCGCCCCATTCTCCCGCTTTCCATCACCCCGCGCCATTTTCCCTCTTTCCATCACCCCGCCCCATTCTCCCACTTTCCATCACCCCGCCCCATTCTCTCGCTTTCCATCATCCCGCTCCATTGTCCCGCTTTCCATCACCCCGCCCAATTCTCACTCTTTCCATCACCCCTCCCCATTCTCCCTTTTTCCATCACCCCGCCCCATTCTCCCTCTTTCCATCACCCCGCCCCATTCTCCCTCTTTCCATCACCCCGCCCCATTCTCCAGCTTTCCATCACCCCGCCCCATTCTCCTTCTTTCCATCACCCCGCCCCATTCTCCCTCTTTCCATCAACCCGCCCCATTCTCCCGCTTTCCATCACCCTGCGCCATTTTCCCTCTTTCCATCACCCCGCCCCGTTCTCCCGCTTTCCATCACCTCGCCCGATCCTCCCTCTTTCCATCACCCCGCCCCATTCTACTGCTGTCCATCACCCTGCTCCATTCTCCCGCTTCCCATCACCCTGCCCAATTCTCCCTCTTTCCATCACCCCTCCCCATTCTCCCTCTTTCCATCACCCCGCCCCATTCTCCCGCTTTCCATCACCCCGCCCCATTCTCCCTCTTTCCATCACCTCACCCGATCCTCCCTCTTTCCATCACCCCGCACCATTCTCCCGCTTTCCATCACCCCGCCCCATTCTAGTGCTTTCCATCACCCCGTCCCATTCTCCCGCTTTCCATCACCCCACTCCATTCTCCCGCTTTCCATCACCCCGCCCAATTTTCCCTCTTTCCATCACCCCGCCCCATTCTCCCTCTTTCCATCACCCCGCCCCATTCTCCCCCAATCCATCACCCCGCCCCATTTTCACTCTTTCCATCACCCTGTCCCATTCTCCCGCTATCCATCACCCCGCCCCATTCTCCCGCTTTCCATCACCCCGCTCCATTC